CCCCAAAACCCCAAAACCCCAAAACCCCTGTTTAGGTTGGAGAAATTGAAAGTAGTTTTATTTTTGAGAATTTTTGGGGGGATTCTGTCTCTGGTAGAGTAAAATATATGCGTCTTCAGTGATGTAGGAACGACATCTTTTGTAAACTTTTGTATCGTTGAAGTATTTCCAAGTGCCTTGTCTTTTTCAGTAGGCTGTGTAATGGCCAAATTCAATGCTTCCGTAATGGCAGATTACGCTGATAAGAGAGTAGATTTGTTCTCCTTCTTCGCTAGTTCAGATCCTTACATCTTCTTCATATTCCATGAAATCATGTCTTTTCTGCATTGTAGCAGAATTCATTCTTTGGATAGGCAACAATAAATATTCTGGAGAAACTACGACTTGATTCCTTATAGTACATGTTCTCTTCTCTTCTCATGAATATCAGAAAAATTTAGAACTTTCTATAGAATAAAATAGTTTCTGAAAATTAATTTTGTAATCATCATTCTGATCTTCATCAAAATAGACTGGAATATTTTTGAACTCTTCATAATTCTTGATTTCGGCTGATCAATGCTCACATCTGAATGTGTTCTGGTAGAACCCTGTAAAGAGTTCATCAACAATGGATGTTCTCTGTCCCTTGTAAAACTCCCAAGCACTCTGCCAGGTATTGTGTTCTGAGAAGCTTAAGATTGAATCACTCTTGTCATGTTCTTGCTGGATCTTTTCAAGCAAAGTAGATATAAACAGGCTAGCGTCATGTTGCCAGTTTAGAGTGAATTGACTACTAAAGCATTCTCTACATGCTCTATCTCTCATAACTCTGGTCTTTGAGTTACAGTAAGCATTGACAAGTCTGACAAATTTGGATGTGACTTCACCATAAGAAGCACTAGCAAAGGAGCCTGAAGAGTGAACATCAAGGGAAGACCTGATGAGTGGAGCCACTGAGAAGAGAAGCTGGAACGATGCATTGGCAAAGCAGTCATTTCCGAAATTGTAAAAGCCTTTAGAAGGAATTTGAAGTATCCCAAGACCTGGAGGAAATTTGTAAAAATTTTCAGCAGTAATCGATTTGATTGGAGGAGATTTGAGATCATTTTCTAAATGATTATCTCTTTGAACTAAGGGTGGCTCAATAAAAGGATTGGTGAATTTCCCTCTAATATCAATAAAAGTCATCTCTAACGGTAATTCTTCCTTACAATCCTCCCTACCCTCTTCTTCTCCCTCCTCTCTCTTCTCTTCATCCCCCTCTCCCTCCTCCAATCCCTTCTCCTCTTGATCACCCCCACTTCCCTTTCAAAATCCTCCATCTCCCCTTCCTTCCCCTCCAGTCACTCTCAACTCCTCTATCTCCTCTGTACCCCCACTTCCACTTTCTTCTTCTTCTTCACTGTTGTTCTGCAGTAAGACTTCTTCTTCCTTCTTGGGTTCTTCAGTACTTAAGTGATGGGGAGATTTGGAAGTTTTGGCTTGGCAAAGAGGGGTTTTGGGAATTTTGGGAGAGAGGGTCTGGGGAGGAGGGGATGGAAGGGGCTGAGGGGGAGGGGGTGAAGGGTTGAGAGGAAGGAGGGAAGAGGGAGGGCTTGGAGGAGGGGGATCGAGGGAGAAGTCGGTGTTAGAGATTTCTTGGTCTATTTCTTGGAATATGTTTCCGATGGCTGCAATGGGTGATTTTTTTTCAGTAATTAGTTTTACTGTTTCTTTGAGGTTTACTGTGTTAATAAGATCGTCAGATGCTGTTTGTGAGTTTATTATTGGTTTATTTTCAGTTTGGCTTGAATTATCTTTTATATCATTGTTTTGGTTCTTTGTCGTTTCTTGACTATCTTTCTGATTCGTTTTTGTTCAAACTCCATTCATAGCTTCTTCCTTAAGATCTCAGTTATTTATTCCTAAGGGCTTCTCGCTTTCTTGTCTCATTCTGGATGGATTTGAATGGTGGACTTCCACTGACAGAGAGAGCATTTTCTTCTTCATGATATCAAGTACGTTTTATTTCAAACGGTTTACTTCGGTATCTCTTCTCATATGTTTTATGAGATAAATGTTTTCTTTTCCTTTTTATCGGATTTTTAAATGGGAGTTTATTAATTAGAACCTTTGAGGACAGAATTTTGGTTTTCGAAGGTATTCACTCAAGGAATAGACATTTTAGCTGAGGTAATGCTTGTATCTTTAGATGAAAGATTGCTTTTAAAGTCAACGTTCTGTTGGGGCTCTATTTGTTTTCATAGAGCATTTTCCTGTTTCTTAATAAAGTCTTTATTTTAAAATCAAGATCTGTCATTCAGTTTACTAGATTGTGGTTCAATATTTTCACTATCCAAAGACTTCTTTTCTTTCACTATTGATGGAAATCTTTTGTCTTGCTGTTCCTTTTTCTCTCCTCTAATAAGTGATTTCTCGTGTAATTCAGTATTTGTTCCTGATCTTCTCTTGGCACTTCGCAAGCAAAATTCGCCATCTAGCAGTCTAAATTTTTTAACTGGTTTGTTTCTTTTATAAGCTCTAACCATCTTATTCTTATTCTTCTTCATCTTCAATGTATTCATAATAACAGTTTATTAATTTCAATTTCCAACTCATAAATCGGGGTTTTGGGGTTTTGGGGTTTTGGGGA